ATCGTTCGAGAGGATTTAACGCCGTATCTTCTCCCCGATCCAAATTTTCACCTTTTTCCAATCTCGCAAAGCGTGGTGGCGTTCATCTTTCAAAATTTTTCCATCTCGATTTCACTCGAGAACGAAAAACGAAATTGTTAAGGAGAGATTTACTGCGCCGGTTAAACGAGATCGTGAAAGAAACTTCTCTCCTAGTAGCAGTGGATACACAGAGAGAGGAATCGGATTCCGGGAGGGTGGTCTATTTACCGAAGACGAAGGAGCGGAAGGAGCGAAACGGTTAACCGACGGAGCGATATTTGTTTCCGTTCTCCGACCGACCGATCCTCCAATTCCTCGCTACACGATTCGTTACGCCTGTCGCCACCTAACCGTGTCTACCGCACACGCTCGTAATTCCCTTGTATGATGTAGACGGGGGAGGGAAACCTCGCGGGAGAACGGGGCCAATGTTTGCTCGAGGTCCGCGAAACTCGCTTCTCTCCCTCGTTAGTTGCCCATTTACTTCGCGGCTTGCCTCCTTTACTCCCTCCTCCCGTCGAAAATTGAAATTGATCTCGAGCTATCGATTAACGAGCGTTTTTCTCGAATGCCCTCCGCATCGATGGCCCCTCGAGTTTAACTTTCGGCCCAACTTCTCCGCCGAGTTATCGAGGGAAGGCGAACTCTTCCAATTCCTTCCCTCCAATTTTCCCAAAGATTTTCCCAAGTTTCAAAAGAGACGAAGACGCCCTCGAGAGGGGAGTATGGGAGGAGGGCCAAGTCTCGTTGTTTCTTAAATAACAACAATCGCGCTCGACGCGAGTTGACGCTCCTTGCACCAATGCAATTTCTGGCTGGAATTTCGTTTGCTAAGTGATACGAGTTTCTCATAGGAGGAGAGAATTTTTCATCCGTTAAGACGTTAATTCCAGAAGGAAAGAAAGAGAGAGAGAGAGAGGAGGGCAATGACCACGAGGGAAGCTTTATCATCGTCGTCGTTGTCATCCGTCGGTTCCGAGAGATCGTTCGTTTCCTTGCCAGCATCCGTTCGAGCTTTTCCACGCTGTTTTCCAGCTATTGCCGCGTCTCGTAAAGTTCCAAAACGAAACGAATATTTTATGCTCGGACTCTCCTCTCCTCCAAGAACGAGAGATACTCGATTCGACTTCTTTTCTCCTTCCTCTCTCTTTCTAATTTTTCCTCTCTTTACGAATAAAAATCGATAGGACCGAGTCTCGGAACAAGTAATTCTAATTTCCGCCGGAACTTTTCGCGTTCGGTTATTCTTCCTCGCGTCGCCACGAAATTTCCCCTCGAGGCGAAATTTTCCATTCTTATACAGGAAAGGGACAGCGTTTTCGAACAGCTTCCCAATTCCGAGATCCGGATCGTTCGAAATTACCTTACCGGTGGTGGTGGTCGCCCGGGAAATCCTGGATATATTCTTAACCGCGCGCGAATCTCTCTCTCTCTCTCTCTCTCCGCTTCTGGATCCCTCCCCCCGTTATCCGTTTTACCAATCTTCGCCCCGATATCGGGGCAAAGAAAACGCTAATTGCGCGACTAATTGCGAAGACGGCGAAGCAAGCGCACCGGGCCGGCCATATCTCGCATGACAAACGTAATTGCACGGTAACGGAGAGACAATTAACTGCTCCATTCTCGCGGACAAATGGTCCCGCATTACCGGTGTCCCCCCCTCTGTACACGGGCAAACACGAAACGGGCGGTGTGCGGATGCACACAGGGTGGTGGTGGTGGTGGATGCGCTTTATTTAAGCGTTATTTTACGCGGTCCAGCTTCGCAAAATCCACCAACGGTGGATTACGCATTCCATGCATAAATTATAAATCCGAGGAGACCAGTTTTCCAGTTTTGGTGCTCCGTGCTTGCTTCTTGCTTCCTTCCCTTCCCGGGGAATCTGGTGGTATCTTTGGGGAATATTTCGACGTTGAAACAATAATATCTGGCTCTCGCCGATTTCATTATCGCGATAAGATATGTACGAATAAGGAGGATTCGTGGTATCTACTTACTTTTGTCGTTATCTTCGGTGTTACAAGGTTTGTTAAACCGGTGTATCGAGAGTGTAAACAAGTTTCGGCAATAAATTCGGCCGATTATCTTTGTACCAAGCGGTAACAGGTCGTGCCATTTTTTTTTTTTCGAACGATCGCGAAACATTATGAAAATTATGGGTGAAAATGCAAAATGTTTCCCCTCGATCGGAAAAAATCGCGTTGAAAAATCGCCCTAAACGTTTTACATACGAAGCGACGTTAATGGATCCCTTTGAACCGCGTTTAATTCTCCTCTTGGTAAAAAAAAAAAAAAAAAAGAGAAAGAAGGAAGAAAGTCGGCGGAGTATGGTTAATTTGGCCTTTTGAACGACAATTACACGGTGGACGGCGATTTTTTTCCTCGGTGGACGTGGACGGATTGCACCCGCGTCGAAGTAATGAAAAATAGAGGGGGAGGGGGACAGGGTTTAACAAACGCCAATTAAAATGAAAATAGCCACGGTGTAGCGGCGAGACACGCGAAATAAACCGGCCCAGGGCGAGGAGAGGACCGTTTATAATTTCACCGTGCTTTTCCGCGGCCATCGGCCATGAATGTTTCATGAGACGTGCTGCAAACGTTCAAATCAGAAGCAGATGCCGCCGAGAAAAAGATCAACTGGGTCGCGACCCGTGCGAAACGTGGTTCAGGTGAAAAAGGGGGAGGAGGAGGGGGAAAA